AAACCTGGGAGCATCAAGGATACGGCAGTTGTCCGTGCCGTCAACTGCAGTGAAGATCGCGAGCAACCGAAGAAACATGTAGAGAGCAAGAGAGGAAGAGAGAGAGAGAGATAGAGACAGGGAGTCTGTATGAGAGAAAAAGTGGCCCTAGCACACAGCCTTTCAGCTCTTCATGACAAAATTGGATGCTGCAGCCTCCCCGTGAAACTCAGGCTGCTATCTTCGCTGCACGAAGACCTCATGCACTTCCAGCGGCAGCTGCCACTTCCACCCAGCCAGCAATCTTCTTTGCAATGTTCCACCTGGGTCTTAGCACGTGCGACCTAACTACGTACAAATATTATATATATATATATATCTACCGAGCAACATCTCGGCCAGGTTCTCATCAGGCTTGAAAGGCAGGGTGAGGCAGTCGTAGGCGTTCGCCTGTTCGAAGCTTGCAGGCGTTGGGTTTTTGGGGAAGGGGGTCTGGTTGTAAGTTTCAGGGTTTACACTTAACGGTTTAATTTGTTGGGAGATTCGCGAAGGGGGCTAATGGTCGGGTGTTTGGATGTGTATATCGACAAGAGATCTTTGTGTTGCAAGATCTGGGTTCAGAGCTGGAGCCGAGTGCATGATCTTATAATAAGATGCTACTGATTTATGGCAAGCGGCCTTCAGATAGAGACCATGCTGTCGCTTCACAATGGAGAATCGCGCCGGGTCCACATTTGCAATGTAGAATGCACCAACGAACCTCGGCTTAATGCATTCTGTGCTGTGTATACCTTACCAGTCATCATATCCCAGGACACAGCTTGGAAGCCAAGTGGCAGCACTCCGATTGTGCAAGCATTCGGACGGTCGGCCAGGAGACGGGGGCTGGGCTTCAGAGTGTATGACCTTGGCGGGTACAATCCCGAAAAACCTGAATCCCTAATACCCCTCAACCCACAGAGCTCCAAATGTGAAGTTGAACCCGCAATCCCTAAATTCATCCAGAAAACGAGATATTCGCATACACAGTTGCCGGGGGGATTCTCATCGATCGATCAGACTCACGGATCTTCTTCAGGCCCTCGACGATAGCATCTCTTTGTGCCTCCAACGGCAAAGGGTTAAGGGTTGGGGCTTGGGCCCAAAGATTCTTGGGACATGAACTTGTTCGGGGATTACAATTCCTAGAACTGCTGGCCTCGGCCCTCTGCAGGGACTTAGGCTTCGGTCCGTCTTTTGGCGGCGGTGGCGGTTTCGTGCGTGCGAACTGCGGCGTCCAGCCCGGTGATCTGCCCGGCGTTCGCGACTCGGGCGACTGTTGCACAGCCTGACCATGATGCAAGCCAAAATGTATAGTGCTTTGTGGGCACCGAAACAGCCTGCTTCACCTTCTTGCTCTTGGCCTTGGGCATTGATTTTGCTTTTCCTTTCGGCTCCTGGCAACAGGCTGGTAAAGCGACATGCAGTCATGCACACAAAATTCTCGTGTCCTGGCGGGGCGTGCTCACAGCTTCAAACTCTTTCTCCAAATTTTTTTTCGGAGTTTCATAGACCTTCTCCTCCTCTGTATCCTTGGGCCTGGCTTTGGGTCGGGCTTTGCTTCGGATGGCTTTGGCTTTGGCTCCCTCCTGGACCTTCGCCTCCTCTGAGGCTGTCTTCTGCTTCTTGCTTGGCTCGCCTCCCTCGTCCTCGCCTCTCACGGCCTGCTTTATCTGCTCATCCTCCTCTAGGAGCTCTTCCTCAAGAGCATCGGCGCCTTCTGTGTCTTCCGCCTCTTCAGCGGCCTTTCGTTTCTCTCCCTTCGCCTTCGCCTTTGCTCCTCCCTTTCCCCTGCCCTTGCCTTTTCCCTTCTTCGGCTGCGCCTGGCTCTGCCTCAGTCCTGCTCGCAGAGCTTTCTGCGCCTGTCAACAATTCATGTAGAATCTTGCAAAGGGTCTAGGCTGATGATGGGCGACATGATACAGGGTCTGGCTGGGCTTGCCTGCAGGACTTCTTCCAGCATGCCGAATTTCTCTGCGAGCTCCATGGATGCGAGGTCGGCCTGTTCTTGAAGTGATCCCCCAACCTCAGGAAGATTGGGTTTCAAAGGCTTCCGATCCTTAGCACCGCCATGAATGCAGTCGGGACATGGATCTATGACCGACGAACAACTATATAAAGTCCAGTCGCTTTGAACGTACCCTTGTCAACAGTCTCACGATCTTCTCGACTGTCATTGGCCACGGGCTCCTGGAGATACAGCTTGGATGTAAGTGCCTTTCAAAATTTGGGTTACCATGCATCGTAATAACTGATGATGTGGGCTCCACACACGTACATGTACACAAGCCTCGGCACCAGGAGAAGCTGCTATCATCGCTGCATTGGAGCGGCGAATCACAGGCTCCTGGGCAGCTTATAAATTTAAATAAATTTAGATCCCAGTGTCATGGATATCCTTCGAAGATTCGCTTGCCTTCTTTGTCCCGGGCCCAGGAGGATCTGACTCCTGACCATGCATATTAGAGGTTTCTGCTACGGGGAAGATCGTGCATAATGGGCCAGCATACTTCCTCCTGCTCATCCATGGGTGTCACCTCCATCGCCTCGCCGCTGCCCTCCTGCAGAATTCTAGCTTCGAAACTAGATCTCATGATCACATGAACAACCCTATAGATGCAAGAGCTCCTCATCTGAAGATATCGTCTCCAAGGGCACGGTCTTGTGCAAAACGAAGAGGACTTCCTCCTCCTCCCAGCCCTCATTCTTCTCCTCCTGGCCCTCTTGCTTTGACTTTGCATGTGTCTCCTTTCTCTCCTCCTTTGGCTTGATGTTTCGAGTCTTTCTCACAATCTCTTTGAGATCATCCATGCGGCTGTGTCCACTCCTGCCGTGAGCTGAATATATGTACACTGATCATGCAATATCTCACACTCCGATGAGTCCTCGATGCAGTGTTCTGCCGTGTGCGCCGAACGACATAAGCCGCCAGGGCTCTCTGCAGACCTCCTTCGGTTTCAGCCCAAGCCTAGGATAGAGTTAATAGGGATACATTTTTGGCGATAAAGCACATGCATGGGATGGTGCTGGCAAGGAACTTCCAGCTCCGACTTCGAAGCATTCTTTCGGCACAGTTCTTTGTCCTTGGCCACCTTCACAAGAGCCGCCTGCCATCATAACCGAACATGTTCGAAAGATTGCAATTGAGTATCAAAACTCCAAGCAGGCCTGAATATCAAGCTTGTTCACCGGATGGTGGATGAGGGACAGGAAACCCAGCAGGAATTCATAGTTCGCATCATTCTCGACCTGCAGAATCCCAAGACCCCGAAAATTTTCTGTAATGATATATAGGGCGTACATTAATCAGCAACCTCGGTCTCGCCGATGCTGGATTTCTTGATATCCAGCATTGTGAAGTTGCATGGCACCTTGCACATACAATTGTGGTAACCCGTAGCACCCCTACCAGCCGCTACTTAACAATTAAATACACTGCATCCAAGCTACTTTTCCCTTTGCCAGGATCCGGGCCAACTTCTGCGGTCCCAGACACAGATCCTTGGCCAGGCTTTCCCACCGCTCCTTTATAAAGTCCTCGTCGAGGATGGCATTGTAGAATCCCTGAGAAAGGGGGGGAGCTGGAAGGCTTGCAGGCTGAGATATGATCGAACTTACTTTCAAGCCTCAAGCAAGCGGACGGTTGAAGCAGAAGTCGGAGGCATCTCGGGGAAGCTGATGACACCAGTCTTACACCCCCAACAGACCTGTGGACCGGGCCCCAGAAGTCTATAGCAACATGCGATCTGATATGGAATCATATGGGCCCTCAAGCCACAAGCCGGAATGCATCACTGCTGATCATGATATACAGAATCCCTGCTCTTGAGCACACAAATCTCAGGAGTGGCAGCGCTTGGATCAACTGCATTGCAATCGCTGACCGCTGAGCATACGAAAATGAGCCGGCATCACCTGGGGACCATTCATCTAGGGCCTTTCGTCGCTCCGCGAATCCTTATATAGGAATAGACCAGGGCTCGGATTGAAATCGCAGCTTATATGTGATGGAATAACATTTATGACGAGCCACTTGTCTGAAGAGCCTTCTTCATGCATCCAGGAATAGAAGGCACCGACCAGCAGCATCACCAAACACCGCTTTCCGGCGCCAGGCGAAAGAAAGCATGGATCAGCAGAACCAGCAAGCACCGGCCATGAGAATTCAGGAATTCTTTATTTTCATGTGAATGAAAAGAAATGCTCATGATTATAATGCCTTCAGCTCATCAACATTGGGTCCGCCCAAGGCTCCAACTGGATTAAGATCATGCTGATTTCTAGTTGTATACATATATTGAGCTGAACCTATGGACCCGGCCAAGGCTCCAATTGGATGAAGATCATGCTGGTTTTAGAGCAGCTACATGCATTCAGCTGAAGTTTTGGACCCGCCCCAGGCTTGTACTATAAACCTCGCAAAATCTCTTTAAAACCCAGATCAATCAACTGGAAATGCAACCTGGAATCCTCATGAAATCATGCGGGCACACTGCTCCAAGCCAGCTTCCGGATGCAGGTGGCTTTTTCGGGGTCGTGGCTTAGGAGGAGGTTATATTTCTATGCAGGCGGTTCGTTCTAGTTTAGAACAGCCCTGTGAAACGAGGCGGTTGATCCACAGGGTATATATATATATATATATATATATATATATATAGGGACCCCTTTAAGGCCTAAGTACCTACTATATGGGCACATGGAGCCTTTGGGAGGATTCTGCTGGAAATCCCAACATATGCCACGCCTTCTCAGCCTGCTGTTGATTTGAACCGTTACCAGCGTGATCATGCTGTGCAGAACCAACACAAAGGCGATAGTCGTACCATGTCATACCATCATCTTCATCCCCACCTAGTTCATCATCACCATCACAATCATCGTCCGCCTCCTCATCATCATCACCGTCATGGTCACGAATAGTCTTGCACATGGTCGGTGTTTGTCTCATTTCGGCTGCTTCTTCACCTAAGGTTCGTCGGCGCCTCGGCAAGAGGGCGGGGAATCTCCCCTGCTGCGGTGAAAGCATTGGCTGCCAGCCCGAGTAGGTCTCCTCGCATCCTCATGATTTTAGGGTTCCTCTGGATGCAGGGTTTGGAGGAGTTTAGGGTTTGCGGGATTAGTAACTTCAGTTTTCTGTTTAGGGCGTTGGGCGAATTGGGTTTATGAGGGGTTTAGGGGTCTTGGCGGCCGAAGAAGGACCTTGCGAACCGAAATCTCTGATCACAGATAAGCTTTCTGGAATCTGCCGCTTATGTTAGAGGCCTTAATACGAATGATAAAATCTAGTTCTAGTTAAGCCCTTCACCCTAACCAGCCTTAGCCATGAACCCTGAACCCAAAACACAATCACTTTGATCTGAGAGAATATGGCGTCCCAAATAATTTCCAGTATTGTTTTGGGGCTCATTATAGTAAAGCATATGTGTGTGTGTGTGTGTCTATATATATATATATATATATGTATATATATATATATATGTATGAGCTTCTATGGTCTAAGGTGCGGGCTACGGCTTCCGTACTTGTGAGGGTCTAGTGTTGTTAGGTCTTCATGTTCAAAGTTGAGGCTAGTCTTTGGGTTAACCAGAACCCCTCAAGTACCCTTGAATAGAGCCCTTGTGGTTCGTAATAGTGGGTACTTAAGGTATAGTTCAAGGTAGTTGGGCGGTCTAGGAAATTTCGTAGGGTTTGGTGTTTGCCCTGCGTCATTGAACCCATGTACTCCACTGGTCCACAAGCGTCCAAGTTGAAAGGCCATAGCACATGCCGGCCCCTCTCCATGCGTGAGGGTAGCTCTCTAAAGCAGGGTCCGTTCTTGGGTCCCCAAAACAGTACGCCACCCTTCTAAAAGATGCAAATTCAGAGAGATATCCATGAACTCCAATAACCCCTTGTACGGCATGACCCAAATGCCCTCAAGCCTGAACTCCGAATGAACTTCTACACCATAAACCCCTAAACCCTAAACTGAACCCCCACATGGGCCGCTTGTGGATTTGATGGGAGGCCAAAAGGGGGGTTTAAGATTCTTGGGGTAGGGATTCCTTAATATGAACCCTATTCTGGGAACAATAATCCCAACTATGCCCCCATAGGCTGAAACCCGTTTTGGGCTCCTATGAGGGTTGGAAAGAAGGACTTCGAAGAATCGTTTGAGGTCTATGTCACTGAACTGAAACCCCCAAACCAAACCCCACGACGGCCGCTTGTGGATTGACTCTGCCGTCCAAAGCACTCGGCGACAGCTGGCGCCAAAGCCAAGCCCGCGCGATGCCAGAAGTCTCGAGGGCGCTGCAGTTCGGAGGCTTACCCCAACGTTTGAAAAGGACCCGATAAGGGTTCCTATAAGGTATCCTCTAAGGGTTCCTATCAAGGGTTCCTATAGACACTAAGGTGCATAGATTCGGATACTTGGTGCTTGGGAGTACGAGTGGATCCAAAAACCTACCGTTTTCAGGGTCAGACCCTCTAATTGAGGGGTCATAACCTACTATTTTGTAGGGTTTGGGGAAACAGGTAGATCATGATCCTCAGGCGCTGGGACTATCGGGATCCTCGCGGGTCGGGCGTGACGGAACTTGGAGGATCATGGGACTTAGTAGGTAGGGTTATAGGTCATAATTGGGGTTGTAATAAGTAGATATAACTATAGTGACCTTTCTTATATCCCTACTTACCAAGTCCCATGGTCCTCTAAGTAGGGCTGAGGGTTGAGGGTCTAGGGCTTGTAGGGTTTAGGATATCAGCGCTTGGGGTTTAGTGTTTAGGGCTTGTAGGGCTTAGGGTTTATGGTGTTTAGGACTGGCGTGCAAAGTTTGAAGCGTTAGGACTTCTTTCAGAGTTACGAGCTGTCGTTACGAGCTGTCTGGTATCATTGAAGCGACTTAGTACGGGCTCTGCTGGCCGTGAGCCCTTGCCACATGCCTTGGGCCTATCACCTGTTTCTATGTCAACTTAGGAGGGTATTACAGGGTTTAGGAATAATTAACCTACCTTATCAAGGACTTCTACAAGGAAAGCATACAAAGGAATCCCGAAAAGGAGTGTCTTTTGTGCTCGTGGCTTCGTTCCGACTCTGATGTTTGTTAAGGTCTGTCGCTCAGCGTGTGCACAGAAATGTTTCGGGTCGGGATATCCAATGGCCTGGACGATGGCCGAGCATCTGCTTAGTGGCGGATATGGGTAGTTGTCAGAATTATGGTCACTTTTTGGGTACCCTAAATAATAGGTGCCGTAGTATAATAGGGACCCAAAAAGGGACCATCATTTTGATAACCACCCATATCCCTCGTCGTTGTAGTGTTGGGGCAGATCTTTTGTTCACAAATCGAGTTTAGCACAATGGATGCTGCGATCATTCCACAAGCACCACCGGGAAGGTAAAGCTTTGGGATCATTGGGATCGGAAGTTCTCGTGTCGAGAATAGACCACACATATTTCTGATGGGGTTACCGGATTCATTGTGCGGAGTTCTACCCAAGTGCGTGGGCAGCAACTGGGACACTTGGCTGTCTATGAATTTGGCGTTGTGCTCCGGATTCTCTGCCCTGAACCTTCCTTCAAAGGGTTCATGTATGTTCAGGTGCTCATACTTTAATCATATACTTTGGCCTGCAGTCTCTACTTCGATAGTGTAAGGCCAAAGTATCTACTGTATGGGTACATCGATCCTGGTTATGGTAATGAGCAAAGCCTTTGTTGAAGCCTTACAAACACTGTTAGAAACACCTGTATTAACGGCATGGGAGCCTTAGACTAAGTCATGCTATTTGGAGGTTCATGGGTAGTTATAAGTAGGGTGTATAAGTAGGGTAACTTATAACTCCACTTATCGCTACCCATGAACCTCCAAGCATGCGACCCCATGTCTCACTTCGCAGTCTGAGCGACCGCCCCGTAGACCGCCAGCATGAGCCAAGCGGTTGAGGATAAAGACCTGACTTGCTTAAGGGTTCTAGGATTTGGGGGGGGGTTCGGGATTGACGGTTTTAGGTTTTTTGATGTTCAGAGTTTAGAGTTGTCTGATGTCGGCGGGCTTGAAAGGTGGAAGTAGAAGGTGCTTCTTGCGCCAGTACCGATCTGAATGCTCTGGTTAGCAAGTTGTTGCATTCTACCTATAGTCTCCATTGTAGTTCCTTTTTTGCTTAGCCAGTTTTTTGGCTAGGAGCCTATAATTAATAGGGATTTTGCTTAACCAAAAAAGGAACTACAAGGGAGACTATAGGTCGGCTTCAGAGGTTGTAGGGCTTCAAGCATTTAGAGGTGTATAAGCCTCGTGAAGTGGAGTGAAGGATCCTCAGCGAATCGAAGCCACCAGCCCCCAACCGGCACGGAGCCTAGACTCTCCGTTTCCGTGGCGGGATTGAGATAGACCGACCTTCAACACTTATATGAGGTCTTAGATACAGATATATACAGATTTTCGCACGCGACACTAAGCTCCCAGAAGCCAGAAAATCCTAAACCGAGAAACATACCCTGGCAAGGTCCCCACACGGTAGCCAATGCCGACGGCATCGCCAGCCTGCGCTTTTCGCACCGACTTCTGAATGGCCGAAAGCCCGGGTTTCGGAAATGTCAACCCAAGCCCAAACCTGAGCGCATTTGGGGGGGGGTTTAGGTTAACGGGGGTTTGCTCGTAAGTCTTACATCGCCATACTTCTCACACAGCCTCTCAGCGCAACTCCACAAGCTGGAACCTTGCATGTAGACCTAGTACTACTCGTAATTGCTATAACTATGACTTTCATTTTGATTTTTGCAAACCCTACAGTAGAAGCCAGAAAGTTGGAATATCATTATCGTAACCCCTTTAAGGTAAATTATAGGGGATCCTACCATTAATCCATATTCCAACTTTCTGGAGTTCCCTTTAAACTCCTAAACCCCAGACCGCACACAGAATCTAACAATCGTTGATGCATCCGAACCCCTAGGGTCCAAGTACCCAATAATCATATACTCTCCGAAATCCTAACCTACATAACTACCATCCTAAAGCCGAGTACCTAATTATTGGATCCTTTGGACCCTGGGGGTAATCCTGCTCAGAGTATCTTGCAGCTCGGCTGTAAGTGCTGAGTGTGAAGGCTTTGGGGCGGCTTGGGAATGAGGGCTTGGGTTTAGCTAGGGTTCAGGATGCGATCCAGGGAATCCAGAGTGCAGATTTCAGAGGTTGCCTCTCAATCCTACGCCACCTTGAACCTTAAAACAACATTAACACCCGATAGACTGTCAACGCAAAGCCTGAAACAAAAACCCAAATTGCCAAACCCCATAAACCCTTAAGCAGAAGGCCCGAAACTCAAAATCCTCCTCCCCCCCAAGTCCCTCAAAGCCCGAAGGCCTTGAGATACTGCTCTGCCACGGCAGCTACGACCTTGCCATCGACTTTGCCATCCCGGCCGGGGCGGCAGGCCTGAATCATTTGCGGTCTAGGGATTAGGGTTTCGGGTTTAGGGTTTAGGGTTTAGGGTTTAGGGTTTAGGATTAGGGTTTCGGGTTGAGGGTTTAGGGTTTGCTCATAAAGTTGGAAACCGAATTAAGGCCAAATAGTGCTGGGATTCCCTTTGCATTACTCTTAAGGATTGAGGCTATTGGGTTTCCAACTTTTGGGCTTCTGCTGTATTGCTTCCAGAGCAGGCGGGTACCTCACATGTGCATGTATTATAATGTATTGCAATGTATAACCCATTCCCGGAAATGTGAAACGGCCAAATTCGGCCCGCCCAATAGCAACTCGGAAAACATGTCTAGCATGTTTCGGGATTTGTTTATCTCATACTGTCACTTCCGAGGGATCTTGCTCTTGCTCCTGCTCTGTCTCTTGCTCCTGCCCTTGCTCTTGCTGTTGCTCCTGCATTTGCTCCTGCTCTTGCTCTGACTCCTGCTCTTGCTCCGCTTTTGCTCTTCTTCCTGATCCTGCTCCTACTCCCGCTCTTGTTACATTGTTCCTACTCTCACTTTTACTGTTGCTCCAGCTCGCTCTTGCTCTTACTCCTGCTCTTGCTTTTGCTCTTGCCCCTGGTCCTGCTCTTACTCCCACGCTTGCTCTTGCTCTTGCTCCTGCTCTTGCCGCTGCATCTTGTTCGCTCTTTCTCGTGCTCTTGTCTTGCTCCTGCTCTGGCCCTCATCCTCCTGCTCCTGCTCCTGAACCCTGAGGCTCGGAAGGTGAGTTCCCATGGTCCTACTGTAGGGGCTTCGTAACTAGAATAGGGTTTTGGGGCCCATTATACCGCAGTTGCAATCAGGAGCCCCCAAGATAGTGTATCTGTAGGCTCATACAATACCCCATTTTGGGGGTATCCACTTTTCTGTCTAGAAGGTCCTCACCCTAAAACTAAAACTAGGTATCCCAAAAAAGGGGTAGGGTATGAGCCTCTAGGTAGGCAATTATAAAGGCCCCTAAACTGCCCTCATCGGACCCTTAGCCCTTTTGAGGTTCTTACAGTTGCTTTAGGAGCCCTATCAGCCTCCACTTTTCGTTCCGGTGGCCTTGAGGTCTCGTTTTGGGTTTGGGGTCGTTTAGTGCTCACTTTAGGATCTTGGGCCTAATGAACCCAGCCTTCGTGACAGCATCGCGCAGGTACTCGCCAGGGCCTCCATGTGTTTCGAACCTCTGGTCACCACAGCTAGAGAATTGTCATGTAGGAACCTGATGAAGACACTCTGGTCGCAAAACCCCAACATGTAAGGATCCATGTAAGGAGCCCAAATAAACACCCAGAGTTTCTTCATCAGGTCGCGATATTTTACTTTAGGCTTTGGCGTTCACATCGGAGCTGAGCCGTTGGAGTTCCGCGCATGACCCACTTGTGACACCGTCTACAACATGAGCTTACTGGAGCAAAAATCCCAAAAGGCACCTTCGGTCATCCCTTTGGACATTTCATGACATGTCGGGTTAGGAGTTTTATGGTTAGGATCTGCTAGAAATAAAAATAGACACCCCGAAAAAGGGGTAGGGTATGAGCCTACGGGTAGGGTTTCAGTAGGCGGACGCCCAGGAGGTTTAAACTTTTAATGGTCCCTTCACATTCCTTTCCTAGCTGCTGAGTTCATAAGCCCCCATTAAAGTGTACACTTTCAGTTTTATCGTGGGAAATATTCTCCAAAAAAGTGTAAAGTGTATCCACTCAGCTACGAAGCTTAAGTCAGCATGACATAGATGACAAGTGCCCTCAACCGTTCCGCAACAACTGCTAAACGAACCCTTACTGCCGTGAGCCTGTAGCGCCTCATGCCAGCTACCACATGTCCGAAGCTGCAGATCTCGCCGGCTTACCCTGAACCCTATAACCCTGAACCCTAAACCTAATCCCTAATCCCCAAACCCAAATCAATAAAATCCTGAACCTGCGAATTTCGCTGGCTTTAAGGAGCCCGCTAAAGCGCGCACACCTTGAGTTTTTAGCTGGGACGAAAAACCCAGAGGTTTAGGGCTTCGGGTGCAGGGGTGCAGGGTACAACTCTTCAGCCAAGCCTCTACCCAGAGGCTCCATAGTAGTTCCTTTTTGGGATTACCTTGTGTATAGGATTCTAAATATGAAGCCCAAAAAGGAACTACTATGGAGCCTTAGGGTAAGTGTTATCTGTAACTTAAAACTACAACCACAACATACTATCCAAACCCAATTTCGGTAGCCCAACGATGCAGACGTCTCGGCTCGGGGTACGGAGCTTAGGACACGGGTTCAGGGTTCAGAGTTTAAGGTAAAAGCCAGAAAGATGGAATATGATTCTCCTAAGCCCTTTATGGTAAACTATAAGGTATCCTACCCTGAAACCATATTCCAACTTTCCGGAGTTCCGTTTATTGTAGACCCATGATGCAGAAACCTCGTAGGTCATGTTCATCAGGGTAAACCCCGAACCCTAGAACTGTACTTAGACTGTGGCACTGAGCGTCAAGAGGCGAGGACACCTCCAACCTCGGCTCTCGACTACTTTTCTTACCTTTGGTTAGTTGGGAATGGAAGAATGGTAGTAATAGTAGTTATAATGGTACCCCATTCCTCCATTCCCTACTAACCAAGGGTAAGTTTTGCGGCAGATTCTCCTCCAGCGAGCTCGCTTTGTCCAAAACCTCGCTGATGCGCTTGGTGTGCTGCAGTGACTCCTCCAGCTCCGTTTCCATCTCTTTGCGCTTAGCGCTGAGAAGGCCATGAAAGCTGAGCGACTCCCCCTGCATAAACTCCAGCTTGGCCTTACCGTCTTTGAGGCCGCCGAGAAACTTGTCCCTTGCGCCCACATCTCTGAACACCAGCTTCCAGCGGGGAAGGAGGCCGTTTACACTGGTCGAATAGTACTCGACTATGCTCATCAGTGTTCAGGGTTCAGAGTTTATTGTAGACCAATGCTGACGAAACCTCGTAGGTCATGTTCATCAGGGTAAACCCTGAATCCTAGACCAGGAATAGACTCCGACACTGAGGGTGTCATACATAATAGGAACATTGAGCCAGTCGCAGCAATAACTACTTGCTTGTCAGGAGACCTCTAATAAGAATCACCAGAATCTCTAAAACCCTAAACCCCCAAACCCTTAAACCAGAAGCTTGCCAACTGTGCTCTGGGGGCAGAACTGCCAAGTCCCGTGGAAAATCCCTACAAGAACCCGGACCGAAACCTTGTGTAAACCCTTCCAGCCCGAAGAGCAAGTACCTTACCCAAAGGGCCCTAAGTACCCGTATGGCAGAATGCAAGGGTTTCTATATTAGGTATTACCATCATGATTTGGGGAAGTATCCCCTGTAACAGTGCCTGGCTACTATACTGCACTTAGAGCCCTATCAAGAAAAATAACTGTTTCGTAGTGAATTATAATAACCAAAGATTAAGCAGTATTTCTAAGTACCCCGGATAGTTGGGGTTGCCGCCTCCCCAACGTCCATTTCGCAGCCTGAGGCCAGGGCTTGATTCAGGGATGGCTCGAATGAAGCATCCATGTGTGGATCATACCGGTACTGGGGGATGAATTATGAATTAGAAGGGCTTTTAAAGTGTGGTATGTAAATATACATACATACCCTAGTGGTGAAACCGTTGGCAACTATCCGCGTTTCTGTATTATTTGTTGTGTGACTGCCAGCGGGACCCCAACATGCTGAAGCCCCGAAGCCCTAAATTCTAAACCCAAAGCCCCAAAGCCCTAAACCCCTAAAACCACCCGAAGCCTTGAACCCCAAACCGCCCGGCGCTGACCTGATCCCCAAACCCTTAACCCCCATCTTTAAGCCTGAAGCGACTAGAGTTTAGGGTTTAGGGGTTAGGGTTTAGGGTTTAGGATTTAGGGTTTAGGGGTTTACCTGTATCCCCAATCCCTACAAAATAGTAGGGTTCTGACCCCTTAGTTAGAGGGTCTGACCCTTAAAAGGGTAGGTTTTTGGATCCACAGGTAGGGTCTTAGGAGTCTAGGGTTTCGAGGTTTACCCTCTGCCGCGAAAGCTGGATTCCCGAGGTCCAAGTCTAAAGACAGATATAAGCCTACAGATGCCTGACGCGGGCGCGCTCGCGAATCCCATGATGCTCAACACAAGAACTGGGAAGGCGTTCCTGCTAAAGCTCGAAATCGCGCCTGAGCGAGGGCACGAGCGCTCCGATGCATCCGCTGCTCCAAGCATTTGCAGCCGGCCCGATCTCGGGGTATTATCTAAAATCGAAAGGCCCTAAACCCTATAAACCCCCAAAGGCCTATCCTAAACCCTAAACCCTATAAACCCCTAAAGGCCTATAAACCCTACGACCCTAAAAATCTCTTAGGCCTGCAAGCCTGAAACCTTCAAGCCCCACACCCCAAACCATGAGCCTGACAACCAAAACGTTGTGCGGACCTTTCTACCTGTGGGGCTGAAGCCGGGTCCAGGAGTGAGGGTTGGGGCTGAACAGTTTAGGGTTTAGGGGCTTCTTAGGTTAAGTTCTTGCTAGACTTGTATGAGGTTTTAGGGTTTTGAGGTTTGGGGTCAAAGAGCCTAGTCTTCTACCCTGCATCCTGCTGAAGCCCCGTATCAACGGCATGGGACAGGAATGTCTATGTTGAAAGGTAAAAGGTGCCGTGAAAGAGATCGCCGTAATGCTCAGACTGCCCGCGTTCATGAAAACGCTCCGGAATGGCGAGTAAGCTGTAACAAAAAACCCAGACCACTGTGAATGTCCTACATCTCCTCTGCATGCTCACGAGCCCGCAAGCTACAAAACTCTCACATCTTACCTATGGTGTCTATTGAAGCTCCTGGCTTGGCTAACCAACTTTAATGGCGAGGATCATGCGACTTAGCAAGTAGGGTTATAAGTACCTTAATTGGGGTTATACGTAGATATAACTATAGTTACCTTACTTATAACCCTACTTACTCAGTCCCATGGTCCTCTAAGTAGGATCCTACAACTTATAACAAGGGGAGATCGAAGCCCCCCGAAGCTCAACAGTTTATGCACCTGTTTAGGGTTTAGGGTTTTCTATCACCTCGCATGCTTTCTTTTTTAGCCGCACTGTTTTAGGGTTGCGGGTTTCGGGGATGCAGGTTTCGCGTCACGGGCCGAGGTACGGGCGATCTTGCCGAACTGCCAACCCAGGGTCGAGAGGCCGGGCTTCCGGCTAGGGTTTAGGGTTTAGGGTTTGGGGTTTGGGGTTTAGGGTTTGGGGTTTGGGGTAGGGTTTGGGGTTTGGGGGTTTAGGGGTTTGGGGTTTGAGGTTTGGGATGCAGAGATCTTCAACTTTCACAGGTCTCAAACGGAAGGTATCCATCTTCACTCACGTCACGTACACCCTACCTCGCTAATTTCGATGAGACTCTTAAAAGGTACAACCCTGAAGCCGGAAATGCCAGACGTTTCAGCCCGGAAGCCATAAAATCTGTGTAAGGCCCCTCCAGATCTTGAAATCCGATTTACTCTCAACTTTCTCAACCCTATAATATCGCTGGAGTGGAATTTTGGGGCATATTGTGGTTGTATTGACCCCAACCCCTAGAAAATAGTAGGTAACGATTCCTCAGTTAGAGGGTAGAACCCTCAAAGCGCGCAGGTTTTCGGACCCCTAGGTAAACGCTGAATGCCCATCTTTTTCTGCCTATCCGCTCCGAAGCATTCGAAGGTGTTCCTGCAGGCAGCTGCGTGCCGAGGTGCTTTTGGGGTTCAGGGTCAACCTTAACATACCAAAACCTACTTTTTTGTAGGGTCCCTCTAAATTCCATACTAGGGTTATTAGTTATAATAAGAACCTACAAAAAGTAGGGTTTAGTAGTTCAAGGTATAGGATTCAGGGTTTAGGGCTCGAGGCTTTGGATTGGATGCGCGCTCCGATTCCGAGGTGAAAGCTTGTGCTCCGTCTTTTGCGTTCTCGTGTTGCAGAGTTTCGGGGGCTTTTCGGTGCTGCGGGCTTAGGGTTTGAAGTGCAGGGTTCAGGCTTCGGGATTGTAGGGCTGCAGGGCTAGATAGCGGCCAGACGGTTTACAGCAAGCTCCAAAAAGTTGGAAACCTAATCATGGACAAATAGTGCTGGGATCCCCTATACTCTACTCCTAGGGATTGAGGCCCTGAGGCTATCGAGTTTCCAACTTTTTGGCTTCTACTGTAGGGCTTTCGATCTTGGGTTGGGGGTCCGGATTTACCGAGCATCGAAGTTCGCCACTGGACGAGCAGGAGAACCTCTGTGGTGCCTAACTGGTAGTGTGCAGCGTTCAGTAGCGGTTGTTGCATGAGTAAAGCTTGGGACACAAGGGTTCGGGGTCGGCAGCCTAAAGCCACGGTTCAGAGTTTAGGGTTTAGGAAATTACGATCCCGTACTTCTAGGGTATACCCCACAGGTGCGATCCATGTTCTGGTGGTTCAGATTTGCCTGGTCATCTCCGCTGCCTAAAGTCCCTAATTAAATGCTCGAATTCCTGGACCAATCTCTCTGTGCGATCAAGGGGTCTTAACAAGCAAATCCGGTCAAATACTCTAGTCTAACCCAATGTAGTCTATATAGTCAAGCACAGACCAGTCGCGGTATACAAAATCGTGTCGTAATTCAATAGTATAATATGTTGGCATCGCAAACAAGTCATTCCACCCTTGCTCAGAACCCAAGCCTAAATTAACTCCATGCCTAAACCTAGACCCAAGAGTAACCTAGGAATAAAAAGGGTGCCCTTTTTGGTTTAAAGGGGCTTATAAGGGAACCTGAACCCTACAAAAAGGGAATAAGGACCTACTCTAGGTCCTAGAAACGGCCTAAACCACCTCATTTCAAACCCCGGGCCCCGGAAGAACGCCCACGGAGCCAAGAACCCTAATACGGGGGCTTTGACAGTTAGACTGAAGTTCGGAGGTATCCTGTACGAGCTCTGAGGAAGAGCATCGGTAACTATCTGTTGCTTCTATAAGTTGACTGCACCTAAACTCTCTACACCCTAATTAACCCCTAAACCCCAAAACCTACAGCCACAAACCCTAAAACCCTAAACTCCACACCCTGAAGTCTCGCCTGGGCAGGAAGACAGCCAGGGTCAAGTGACAAAGCCAGCCGCGCATCGGCCTCTACCCACACCCCAAGACCCGCACCCACCAGAACCTCCTTTTTGGTACCGAGAGGCTCATACCCTACCCTTTCTTTAAGGTACCTAATCGCCTATATACCAGATAAAACTAGGCATCCTAAAAGAGGTAGGGTGTTATACGGTATGACCCTTTAGGTGGGGTCCTTAGTAATTCATATTAAGCATCAAGGTTTACCTGCAAAAAAGTAGGTTTTTGTAGGCTAAAGTAGACCCTAACCCCCCGGCCCCAAAAAGCTAAACCTGAAACCCCGAACCCACGGTAGACTTGAGCGTTCAAAAAGGGTGGCTTGTTTGCACTAGGGACCCTATCACTCTGTTAGGGACTCTACTCCTTTGGGTCCTTATTTGGTTCAGCAGCTTCCTGAGACGCCCAGCAAGTCTATTGGCCTTGGATTTCGGGCTTAGAATGAAATCTTGAGACGTCAAGCTTGTGGCCTGATGACTCTGTAACTCTAAACCCTGATAATCGCTCGATATTTGCAACGGGCTTCGCCGAGGCGCTAAAGCCTACAGGAGCGTAAAGCCCTGAAATCAGACAATCTAAACTCGTATTCTGGAGCGCTTAGGGTCTTGTTAGGGCTAGGACCCTACATCGCCAAGTCTCGAGCACAGCCCGGAACCGACGTCGAAACCATGGACAATCTAGGTCAACATGCCCACACCTGTAGCCGTAAGGGAATATGTGTGGGTACTATGGTAAGCCGAGAACGGAACACACACGGAGAGTAAACTCCGAAGAACGAATAACTGTAACCCAAAACTTTACGAACATGTATGCCACGACCCCTCCAAAAACAGCAGCAGGCTTCTGGATCCCCGGCAACCCTGAACCCTAAAAGTGGAATATCCCTAAACAAAACCCTACATCCCCTCCTAAAAGAGTCGTAAGTCTTAGGCCGTAGAGCTTTTGGGACTAGGGATTACCCAAGAGTAGGTGATGGAACCGGCCCTAATTAAAGGCGGCAGGGTTTTAGATCTGCAGGTTGGCACAGTCCACAGTCAGGGGTTTTCAATTTGGGTTTAGGGTTTAGGGTCTAGCACCAGGAAACAGACTATTGTCAGGTATGGTGCTGCTGAAGTTGGCCTTAATGGGCTGTACCAACAGAGTGATGAAGCCTCCCAGCGTCCTCCCAGCTGCTGGACAGTTCTCATACTTTGCAGCCAGCATGGTGAGTGTTTTCCATGCAGCGCTGTGCACTGGAAACATGGACTTGGAGGACGAGGCCACTGGATATGACGGCCCTGTGGATGGAGACATTGGCGACAGCAGCTCACCAGCAGTCTTCTGCATCATCTGGGCACAGACACAGAAGCCTTGTTCATCTGGTAGTAGACGACACTGCTGCCTGAACCCTAAGCCCCATAAATCCTAAACCCTGAACCAGAACCCAAAATCAGCCGGAAACCCTATATGGGAGTTTCCGTAAATAGGGGACCCTAACATAATGCCTTAAATAGTAGGATCCTTATTTATATAAGGACCCCAAATAAGGAATATTCCCATAATTTCGGAAACTTTAAACCCTTATAGAGCCCTTTAAAGGAACCCTTATAGCACCCTTTATCGTAACCCTCTAAAGGAACCGAGCCCTTAGAGTTCCCCCCAATTTTCGGATATCCCGAAATAAACCATACCTAGAGGACCATGGGACTTAGTAGGTAGGGCTATAAGTAAGGTAACTATAGCTATATCGGCTATATCTACTTACCAAGTAAGGTACTTATAACCCTACTTACTAAGTCCCATGATCATGATCCTCCAAGTAGGGCTGGGCTTCCCTCAGCGCCTCGGAACCCTCGGCCGTGCGCCGGCAAAGCAGGGCCGCGCGCAGGGGCCCCAGCTCGGGCCATACCTGGCTTCTTTGAGGTTTCTTTAAGGAAACCTTTTCAGGGATCTATAGGGGTTCGTGATACCCTTAATGGAATCCCTCGCTTCTTTGGAGTGTCTTTTGAAGGGTTATGTTAGTATGAGATTGGGGTTTGGGGCTGAATGCTTGGGGTTTGTGCTGCTTCTTTGGGGGTTTGAGGTTTATTAGTATGAGATTGGCGAAAGAGCTTCTGCCTCCAATTGTGGGTGCTTGTTTGCAGCGTGTGCGCTGCCCCGGAGCACCCACAGCAAAACAGCATCCACAACACAACGACGCGGGTTCCGTATGAGATTGGGGTCTGGGGCTGAATGCTTAGGGTTGTGATTTGGCGTTTAGGGTTTATGGTTTGGGGTGTAAGGTTTGGGCTTTGGGGTTCTGAAAAGGGATAATGCCACAAAGTTTATGAGGGCTACTATAGTTATAAGGATTACAAGAAGGGTTTCTAGACCCCCGAGAAGATCTTGATCGCAGAACCCCAACCTTGGGAACCTATACTGCTAAAACATACTTTAAAGGAACGCCCTCAAGGGATCTTACGTTTGGGATCCTCTCAGCGGTCTGGGTTAGGGAGATTACCATAAAGTTCCAGCAAGGTTCCTGCACGGGCTACTGCACTATAAGGGTTACTCTACGGGTATTGTGGGTGCTAAAAGGCATGCATCCCAAGGGCTTTCTGAAAGAGATCGAGGGAGGACGGGCTTGCTGGTGGGCGTTGGGGAGTATTGAAGATTATCTGGTCTGGCGCGCCAGGCTTGCGAACTCGAGTTTAGGGAGTTTGGCCCTCAGGGGGTTTACGACTTTGGGGTCTGGATAGCCTCATAAGCCCTAAACCCTAGGATGTTGGCGTTTGTATCTCTGGTTTAGGGCTCAGGGGCTTCTGGGAAAGCGGCTTTTGCCGGTGGGCTCGCGAGAAATGTCAGACCAAACTCTTTCAAGTTAAACACTGCGTGGGAGGCCCGAAGCATTTCTGAACGTCGTAACTTTGAGTGGGCCCGTTTCAAGAACTGTGTGTCACGAATTCCCTCACATTTGCAGCAACTCAACCTGTGTGATTAGTGGAGCTAGCAGTTAGGAGATGGGAGTTTCAGAGGAATAGGTACTGACTAGTGAGTACTCCCTAAACTCTACGGTTCAGAGGTTAGTGTTAGTAGTAAACTCCCTGAAGGCCCCCAAGCACTACATTAAGACAGACGCATGACAAAGTACCGAAGAAAGCTCCCGGCTAATTCACCCACTCAGTGTTTCGGAAAGACTGCTCGAGCGCGTGGCATCGCCAAGAACAGAACAACATCATCGTCGTGGTTAAGAGCCGAAGCTTAGGGCGTGGTGGTTGCTCACAACCCCAGCCCGAAAGCGCAGAAAGAGAAGCTTGCTCTTTCCCCACAAGCTTGCGTCGGCCTACTTGCGGCCACTGCAGTCACAGCGTTTCACGGACTTCGTCGGCAAACCCGCTCGCAGCAACGATTTGTTCATGCTTGTATCATAGATTCGCCAGGTCCCCCGAGGGCACTCGTACGTCATCGGAGCGACCCATTCAAGCAGATTGGAGTGAACATCTTTGGGCCGCGGCTTCTCTCTGTACGTGGATCCGGTGTACAGCTTCTTTTCATAGAGGCCCTTTCCTTGGCTGTTCAGTAACCCACTGGGAAAAAGTATATACTTTGTTAGGCTTCTTACTTGATTACACTAGGAACCCAGAAACCTGAAAGTAAAAAAAAAAAGTGTACCACTGAACAGCCTGGTTTCCATACGGGCAAACGCGAGTATAATTCATTTCGATGCAGGCACCAGATGTCAAGTTCTTCGAGCAATGACTTGTCCACTGCTTCTGGGCCTGGACTCTGGACCATGTCCAAACCATCTCAGTCTCGTCGTCATAAGTGTCGAAATCGTCTTCTGCTTCTGGATCTACCGAGCTGAGTGTTTTCGGCATATTGTCCTCCTCCATATAAGTTTGCTTTGGCATTCCGGTCAGCTGGCGGCGGTCCTGATCAAACCCGGAGGCTTCGCAGCACCAGGTCTAACGCAAAAACGGATGTTGTGCTTCTGCTAGGACCCAGACTAGGCCCCTATTCCCTTTTTTTTGGGGGGGGGTTTAGGTTCCCTTATAACATGATTGAAACCAAAAAAACGGCACACGTTTTATTCCTAGGTTACTCTTATTTCTAGTCTGATTCTGGATCATGCTTGCTTTGCTGTACAAGGAAACACCTCAGCCTGACCGGAATATATATATATATATATATATATATATGTATAGTTCCATGTGAAGCACGGGGGAGGGGTGTTGCTGCGGCTAGAAGCTTGCTGCATCAGGAACTCTGAACCCTAAACCACCGTCTAGACCTAAGAGTAACCTAGGAATAAAAAGGATGCCCTTTTTGGATTAAAGAAGGAAACAAGGGCCTGCTCTGGGTCCCAGCCGTCTCACATCCAGAAAACCCCTAAACCCTTCACTAAACCCGTACAACCCCTAAAACCCTAAGCCACCGTTTCACATCCAGAAAACCCCACAAATAGAGTACCCTGAAAGCACCCTTATCGTAGGCCTTATAATACCCTTATAGTAGCCCTTACAGGACTCTGTATAGGAGCCTTTTATAGCCCTCTTGGCAACATCGGCCCCTCCTGGCTCTGTGGCATCCTTAGAAACCAGGGCTTCTCGACTTGGCGGCTCAGGGGTGGCTTTCAGTGGGGTCCTTTAATCAAAGGGGAACAGGAGGGACCCTTAATGGGGAGCCCTACCCTATGATGGGCTATATAATGGGTATATCATATAAGGGTATATACCTAGGGGTCCTTATTAAGGGTCCCTCCGTTTACCCTTGGATATAAGTGGGGTCCTTTAAGGGTTTAGGGTTTAGGGATCCCTTTAAAGGGCTCCGTAGGGATTTAGGGTTTTCGGGTTTGGGTTTGGGGTAGTTATACGTGGGGTTATCAAGCCCCTACTATGGGTTCTAAGTAGTGTACTTATAACCCTACTTATAAATAACTGCCCTTAAGCCCTAAACCCTAATCCCTAAACTCTATGACCCTATAGATGTACTTAGAAGAACCCGACTTACCACTGCCCAAAACCCTAAACCCTAATCCCTATGACCCTACAGATCCCTTGAAAGGAACCCTACTTATACTAGACCCAAGAATAACCTAGGAATAAAAAGGGTGCCCTTTTCGGTTTAAAGGGGCTTATAAGGGAACCTAAACCTTAAAAAAGGGAATAAGGGCCTACTCTGAGGTCCTAGAACCCTACTTATAACTGCCCATGAACCTCCGTGGAGGCCTCATGAGACTAAGATTCAGGGCTCAGTGTTTCGAACTTTCGCTGTAGTTTGGGGGGGGGGTTTTAGGGGTTATTGGTTTAGGGGTTAAGGGTTTAGGGTTTAGGGTTCAGGGTTTAGAGGGTTTAGGGTTTAGAGGGTTTAGGGTTTAGGGGTTTAGGGTTCAATTTTTATTGGAGCTTGTATTGGAGCTTGCGGGGTTGAGGCTTCAGGGCTGAGAGTTGAAGGGTGGAGCGGGAGGTGCCAGGGCTTGCGGAGCGGGGGCCTCGTCTGTTCAGGCTTTACTCACAGGGGAAAAGGAGGGACCGTTGATGGGGACCCCTGCCCTAAAATGGGCTATAGAATGGGTATATGATAGCTATATTAAGGGTATATACCTAGGGGTCCTTATTAAGGGTCCCTCCCTTTACCCTTGGATTTACGGCTTCGGGGTAGGGCTTAGGGGTCTAGGGAGTTTGGGGTGCAGATGAACTTGTAGAACCTGTCGTTCGATCCGGGATTTCAAGTTTCCTAAAGGACTGGAAAGTGGGTTTGCCAGGTTCTGATGATCTCCGGAGCCAACAGTATGATGAGAAACATCCGTTTGAACCTCTTGCTATATCAAAACCATCCAGCACTAAACCCAAACGCAAATACTCGTCATGACTCGTGCGCAGGAAACTATAGATGGTCGAGCCCCCCGCAGGCACACCCAGAAGAGGGGTTTTTGGAGTACAGTATGCTGTACAGTTGAATGCTTTAAAACCGGAGACGGACGAGAACGGTGGATGATACACATCCTGCATTACCCTTGATATGGACTAAACCATAATTCCCATAGGTAGGGTCCATAAGGTAATGCAGGATTTATATCATCAACCGTATTACTAGCTGATCTGGCTTCTATATGAATCCCAAAGGCCTGAACCCTACAACACCCTAGCTAGGACGCCCAGTAACCTAGAAATAAAAAGAGCTCCCTTTTTGGTGTTGGGTAACTTTATAAGGAACCTAGGACTACAAAAAGGGAATAAGGGTACCACTGGGCATCCTAGCTAATACGCTTCCTCTGAGGGACACTATCACTGTCTGTTGTTTCGGCGCTTTCGGTGCATTCAAACACCTCGTCGCCTCCAGCAGACTTGCCTGGATTCCGGGCTCAGGTTTGAGGGTATCGGGTTCTTCGGTTTGCGGGTTTGAGGGTTTAGGGTTAGGGTTTAGGGTTTAGGGGTTTAGGGTTAGGGTTTAGGGTTTAGGGGTTTAGGGCTCTAGGGTTTGAGGGTTTAGACTTCGAGTTTAACTAGAGTTTAAGGTTTAGGGGTTCAGGGTGGGTCCATGGTTCATGGGGTTTGGAATCTGGCTTTGAGTATCTAGGGGTGCAGGCTCGTGGGGTGTAAGGCGTTGCACACGTTCCACCCAGGCCCAAAAAGAAGACGAGTATCAGGGCCTTAAAAAATACGAATAGGGTTTTGGGGCCACTAGAAAATAAATAAGGAACCCCCCAAAGTAGTATAGGTAATTATTGAATTTAGGCCCCTAAATTATAGTACCCTTATTTTAGCGCTTTTTGCCCCTTTACAACCATGAAGGCCATTGTAAGGGACCCACAAAAGAGTATAGGTAAGGTAACTATTTAGGCCCCTACAGTGGGAAGGCTCCATGTACCCATGCAGTAGGTACTTAGGCCTCAAAGTACCCATATAGGGACCCCGTTAAGGGCTAAGTACCTACTAGAGGGGTACATGGCGTCTTAGGGAGGTGGAAAGGCCTCCTTGCCGAAGAAGGGCAGAGGCCCCAAAACGTCTCAGCTTCAGATTTCAAAGTCTCTAGGGTTCAGGGTTTAGGGCTTATAGGGTTTAGGGTTTAGGGTTTATAGGGTTTAGGGTTTATAGGGTTTAGGGTTTATAGGGTTTAGGGTTTATAGGGTTTAGGGTTTATATAGGGTTCATGCAGCCCTAAAATTATTGAATCCCTGCTACGGGTAGACCTAAGAGTAACCTAGGAATAAAAAGGGTGCCCTTTTTGGTGTAAAGGGGGTTATGAGGGAACGTAGACCGTAAAAAAGGGATTAAGGGCCTACTCTGAGGTCCTAGAAGATATTGAATCCCTTTGAAACACGCTTCAAGGACCCTAACTCATAGTCCAAAAATCTCCAAAATATTCGCGAAAGCATTGTTGGCGAAACGCACAGGCTCCCAAACCGTCCCAAACCCTAAACTTTACCTAAACCCCAGACCCCTCTCGTCAACAGCTCCGCCAACCGAGCAATACCTAGAGGCTCATAACCCTATCGCTTTTTGAAAGTTACCTAGTTTTCTGATTTCTATATAACAGATCCTAACCACAAAACTAGGTATCCTACAAAATGGGGTAGGGTATGACCCTGTAGGCAGTCTGCCGCTACGGCAGGCCTTGTGGCAGCAGCACGCAGTGGCTGCTTTTTCTCGCACCACGCAATAACCTCGGTCCTCGCAGGGAATCCCGAGGGCTCCGGATACCTAAATAGTACTGGGAGGGTGTAGGGTTTAGGGTTTAGGGTTTAGGGTGGGGTATATGATATATGGTTAGTAGCCCACTATTTACGTAGCTGGAGCCCTGTATTAGGGAATAATGTGAGCCCTGACGCGGGAAATTGAGCACGCTTGCTTCAGGCTTCCAAAAGGCCCGAAGCTCTGGGATGTTTTTTTTTTTTTTTATGTGGAAGCTGCGGAATGTGCTCGGCGGAGCTTTTTCGGAGACGGAGAAACATACTTCGTAATTCTTCTCAAAAAGAGATGTATGTTATTTGCTCTTTTCGCACTTTAGGGACTCCTCTACACTCCAAACCCTAAACAACTAGACCCTAAACCCCTAGACCCTAAATCCTAAACCCCCAAAAACTAAACCCTAAACCCCTAGACCCTAAACCCTAAACCCCTAAACCCTGAACCCCCAAAAACTAAACCCTAAACCCCTAGACCCTAAACCCTAAACCCCTAAACCCTAAACCCCCCAAAAGCTAAACCCTAAACCCCTAGACCCTAGACCCCCAAAAACTAAACCCTAAACCCCTAGACCCCTAAACCCTAAACCCCTAAACCCCTAAACCCCCTAAACCCTAAACCCCTAAACCCTAAACCCCTAAACCCTAAACCCTAAACCCCTAAACCCCTAAACCCCGGGAAGGCGAGGTCCAGTCCGATTTGGAAAATTTCAGGCCGCAGGTTCCCCCCCCCCCCCCCCCCACGCAGCCCAACGAATACCAACTTAAAAGGGATCTATAGGGTTCCTTAAAGGGATCTATAGGGTTCCTTAAAGGGATCTATAGGGTTCCTTAAAGGGATCTATAGGGTTCCTTAAAGGGATCTATAGGGTTCCTTAAAGGGATCTATAGGGTTTAGGTTTAGGGTTTAGGGTCTACTTGGAGGATCATGGGACTTAGTAAGTAGGGTTATAACCTTAATTGGGGTTATAAGTAGATCTAACTATAGTTACCTTACTTATAACCCTACTTACTAAGTCCCATGATCCTGTAAGTAGACTCTAGATCTCCCCCCAAGGGTCCAAGTACCCAATAATCATATACTCTCCGAAATCCTAACCTACATAATTACTATTTAGAAGCTGCCCCCACCCTGTAATAGTGGTAAAATAGGAATATAATGGGGCCCTAATATAATCCGTATAGTCACTATTACAGGGTGGGGGCCCCTACTAAAAGATGTACATAAAAACTAAACAAAAATCATCGTGCTCATAATGCTTTTATTATAAGAACTATACCAATGATGTACATAGAAATTAAAACAAAAATCAGAGTGCTCATTATGCTGATAGTAAGAACAGTAACAACAACAACTTCTAATAACAATAAAAAACAGTACGAAGAGCTTCCTTGCTGGTTGCGCTTGACGCCGAATCTTATGTACTGCCCCAAGCGCCTATAAAGCTGATAAACCGGCTCATCTACGTACCTACCCTGATCCCGCCTTGACAAGGCAGAAACCCAAAGGGCACTCGTTTTCCTACTATTCGGCGTTATAACAAGGGGAACCTAAAACAAAACAAGGGCAAAACGCACTACGCAGGAACCTAGTAGCATATCTGATGCAATGCAAAACACAATCGAGCCCTTCGACAACTAGTGCAACCACATGGAAACTTGTAGATCCTACTCATAGCTCATGACTGTCAGTGAACACTGAATCTGCTGCCTCGACGAACTTTAGGCTGTTGAGTCGACGTCTTCAACCCTAAGCCCAACATTTCCAGGCCAACAGGGCTTAAGAAAAAACCTTAACCCGGAATAACCTACCTTTTTAAGGACTTGTATAAGGAAATCGTAATAAGGAACCCTAAAAAGGTAGGTGATTCCGGCTTAAGGTAGAGGTTTAGGGCCTATCGACTCTACCGGGTAGAGTCTGGGGTTTAGGGTTTAGAGTCTGGGATTTTAGGGTTTAGGGTTTAGGGTGGACAAGCCACAACTTCTGCGGTTTCGAGTCCTAGGGTCCTAGAGCTTTCGAACCTTGCCTATTTGGGCAGTTCTCTAAAGTAGGGTCCCTGTCAGGGTCTTGTCTATACGGGTGCCACACTGTTTTGAATTTTGGGAACCTAAAACGGGACCCTAATTTGGAGAACTACTCACACATGGTGCAATGTAGCTCCTCTATTTGCTCTTTTTTTCGGGATATAGGGCCCCAATCCGTAAGATCTCAAGCCGGGATACATGGCAGAGTGTAGGTATGATTCGTTGCTTAGGGCCTGGGGTTCAACCACCTTCTCCCTCCCGCTCCTCCCGAAACAGTGTCTTACGACACTGCAACTTGTCAAAGCGACCAGCTTCGTAATTGTACTCCACAAACTTCTGCACATCATAAACATCGACCGCGCTGTTGTAGTCTCTGCCACCGGTGATGTCCTGCTTTGCACTTGGATCTTGGTACTGAAGCTCTTAGATCCTGTTCTTGTTGTTTCTAGTCTCAGTTCACTTACACTCATGAAGCTGCCATTGAGCATACTGTTACTACAGGCGTCCCATTAAAATATAAATAGAATATTTATTAAGGAACCTGCAAATAATATTGTAACTATTTAAGCCCCTATATTATAGTACCCTTCTAGTAATCCTTACAGGACCCTTGTAAACGATCCATTATAAAGCCCCTGATTCAGGTACCCCCAGAGTAAGATCGGATCGGCACCTGCAATTGTGCTGCATTGACCCCGAACACGCCCACCCCCTACTCCCCGAAACCCTGCATCTTAAACACCTACACCCCTTTGGAGAACTCAACATCCAGCCCGGGTAGACCATTGCAAAACAACCTATGCAATATGCTCACTGGCCCAAAATCCAACAAAATCAAAGTTGAAACTTTCAGAGTCGACTACCTTGTAAGAGCCCCAAAGTTGAAAAGTTGAGTTTGCAGCCAATAAGTATACAAGATCTGGATATATACTCATCAATAGGACGGGTAGTCAGCACAATAAACCAGTGACCTTACCTGTTGAACTCATCGCCGTATGTAGGTGCATGCAGCCAATCGGTATGGCAGGGGACACTGTTGCAACCTTCACTCCAAACATCACGATAGAGGGGCTTTAAGAATTAATTCGAACAGGGTTTTGGCCCAATTTCCTACAAAATCTAATGAGGAACCCCCAAGATAGTATAGGTAGCTAGTTATGAAGACCCCCATATATTAAAACCTTCTTGCCTCCGGGCTGTCGGTCCTCAATTCTGAAGTTAAAGCCACTCTTGTGCACGACCGGGGTCTTCTGTGAATAGGCGTGCAGGTCCACCTGTTCAGGGCTTTGGGGTGTATAGCCTCCTACCCGAGCGTTCTGAGGCACCCGCGCAGATAGCTCCTCCGGCCAGGAATCCGCACGCCCTCTCGAAGTTTTCCGCCCACAAAGGATCCGCGCCCGCACCGTGACAACTTCACCCCGACCCCATGCGTGCCCGCAGAACATCCATGCCCGAACCGCGATGACGTCCACCCCGAACCCCCGGCTTCTGGCCTTTCAAGCCTTTGGATATGTTTTTTTTCCTTCAGGGGGCTGTATCGTGTCAGCCATTCACCCTGTGCAGCTAGTACATAGTAGCCCGTCGCCGTACGTTGTCGTCCTCGCAGTAGTATTATAAGTCGTCGTTAGTAGCAGCAGCAGCAGCAGTAGCAAAAATGACACACCTAGATCTGGACCGAATGCCATGCACCTCCAGATCTGTGCTGACTCTGCTGACCCGAATGCCCACTGGATTGGCCACCAGTCCTGGTTTCTTTACAGCTTCATGGCCTACTTGTCGGGTATCATGGGGAACTAAAGGTTAACCTTTTTGGTTTTATAGGGGTTATACAGGGACTATACTGGCCACAGCAGGTCAAAGGTTACGTACTCGACTACTAGGATGGTGTTTATTGTATTGAGGTGTTATGTAGATTGTGTGGCACATAGGTCCTCTACCTCTGCTCAGGGTGTTTGTTACCATGACAGGTTGTATGCGGTTTTTGCATGTAGGAGGCTTTGGGGTACGGGGTTTTTCAGCCGTGCACCCCCAAATCCTGCTACGAACTGCAGGCTTTAATTAGGGGTCTGGGCTTCTCGGGCTCGGAGTTTACAGCAAGAGCTTTGAATTTGGGAAAAGGGCGATGGGTTTAGTTGGCGGCAATCTACTTTACACCGTACTTGACGGGTCTTAGCTCATAAACTTGAATAACGATTTGGGACATATCGTAAGATATGATTGCTGGGAACAATATAATAGGCCCGTATCTTAGAAAGGTTCGTGTGTGGTTCAACCGTAAGCTCCAGATGCCGACGCCAAACACCAACAACCAACAAAATCTGCTTTAAAGGCCCCGTCTGCCGTCCAACCAGCAGCACGATGTAGCAGGCACTGGGCGGATCTCTGATTCACATAGCGAAAGTCCACCATCCATCTTCCTTAAACTACTAAACCCTACCTTTTTGTAGGTTCTTATTGTAAAGCCTAATATTATGAAATTAAAGGGACCCTAGAAAAAGTAGGTTTTGATAGGTTAAGGTTCGTGTAGGACCATCCGACGTAGGTGAAGAAGCCGGTGTTTGCAATTTTGCAGCAGAGGTTATTCTTCTCGTCGCCTTTGTCTTTGTGATACCTTGGTGGCATACCCGCATAGAATCAACGAAAGCCTCGTGAACGAATTTGGGAGTCTCAGAAGAAAAGGTAGACCAATAATCCAGGCATACGAGACTGTAATCAAACTTTGCTTGTATAGGGAAACACAAATGTAGGGCCGGAACACAATCCATTTTCGGGTCCATAGGATTCCAAGCACCCTACATATGGGTGGTTGTCAGAATTATGGTCCTATTTTGGGTCGATATTATAATACGGCACCTAATATTTAGGATACCCAATTAGGGACCATAACTTTGACAACTTCCCATACAAACCGAAATTTCCAGCCACACAACCCGGTAATGCTGAGCCATGCTTGAGAAGACATCCACTCCTATGAGATTGGGACACCCCAGAGTGGTGCACGAGCACCAAATCACCCCAGGTACCTCATCCCTAGAGCAGTCCCAAACGTAGTGCTCCCTTGAAGCCAGCAGCGCACGGAACCATCTCGGTGCGCGATTTGCCGAGCCGTGATTGTGCAAAGCCTTCACCCGAGGAATTACACTGTAAATCTTAACCACGAAGCCCGATGGGAATGGACATACCCCCAAACATACGTAGCTTCTCGTCGTAGTACCCATTCGGTCTGGGTGTTACTGTTAGGAACCGACTCCAAACCAACACCAAAAAGCCCAAACCCGAATAGTACATCCAAAACCCTAGTAATCTGCACCCTAGACCTAAACCCCAAGCAAACCCTGAAATTAACGCCTTAGGACCCTCAAAACAATCGGTTTGGGGATCTCCAGGTACACCCTATAAATGCCCCAAACCCCAAACCCAGAAGCCCTAAACCCGAACCCTAAATCCTAAACCCTAAGTGCTAAACGCTAAATCATAAAGGGAACTCCAGAAAGTTGGAATATGGAATAATGATAGGAACCCTCATAATTTACCTTAAGCGGATTAGGTTAGGATAACCATATTCCAACTTTCTGGCTTCTACTTTAACCCCCAAACGCTAAACCCTAAACAGACTCCGCCGAAGATGCCATCGCGGGTCGCCTTCCTCCTCACTCGGGCATTCTGCTTCCGACTTCACCTGCATTCACATCGAGGGTTTGGGGCTGAAGTTAAGGTTTAGAGTGTCATCGAGGGCTGAGGGTTTGGGGTTGAAGTTAAGGTTTAGAGTGTCATTGAGGGCTGAGGGTTTGGGGTTGAAGTTAAGGTTTAGAGTGTCATTGAGGGCTGAGGGTTTGGGGTTGAAGTTAAGGTTTAGAGTGTCATTGAGGGCTGAGGGTTTGGGGTTGAAGTTAAGGTTTAGAGTGTCATTGAGGGCTGAGGGTTTGGGGTTGAAGTTAAGGTTTAGAGTGTCATTGAGGGCTGAGGGTTTGGGGTTGAAGTTAAGGTTTAGAGTGTCATTGAGGGCTGAGGGTTTAAGGTTTAGAGTCTCATTGAGGGCTGAGGGTTTGGGGTTGAAGTTAGGGTTTATAGGATTCAGTTTAAACAGTTCGGGCTGAGCCTGTTGGCTGTATACTTGGCTGACTTCTCAACCCCTCCTAAAAGTTAAATTTTTAGGTTCCTTGTTATAGTTCAGATAGAAACCCAAAAAGTTAAAGTCTAAAGAGCCAACCAGAAGAACGCCAAGTATAGGTGAAGATCTAGACTTTCAGTTTTGGCCTGGGGGGTTTGGGGGTTTGAAGTGAAGGCTTACCTAGACCCCCCCAGCTACCCTCTAATATACCCCAGTATAGGACCCATAAAACAAGTACCTATACTATTTGGGTGGCTCCTTATTAGAATTATACTATAATAGCCGGCACTTGGGGGTTCCTGGTAGGGTTCATGGTTTTGGGGGTCTCATCTATAGTAGAAGCCAGAAAGTTGGAACATCACTATCCTCGTGCCCTTAAAGTAAAGTATAAGGGATCCTAGCACTAAACCCTAAACCCTAAACCCTGAAGCCATGTTCCAACTTTTTGGTTTTTGTTGTAGGTTGGGTCTTAGGGGCTGACAGGGTTCAGGGATTATCTCTAGTCCCCATTGTGGTTCCTTTAGGATTTAGGGGCTTTAATAACGATAGGGTTCGGGGTATATTATACCATAATTGTAAGAAGGAGCCCCAACAATAGTATTCTAGGTTGGCCCTTTAAAGCCTCTGAAAAATATTCGTAAATAGGGTTCTATTAACCCCAATAAGGAAAATATAGAATGTCCCAAAGGCCTACCCAGTTGTAGTTCCTTTTCTAGGATGCCCAGTAGCCTAGGAATAAAAAGGGCTCCCTTTTTGGTATTGGGTAGCTTTATAAGGAACCTAGGGCTAGACAACGGGAATAAGGGTACCCCAGAGTTTGGGTTACATTTAGGATGCCTAATATAAAGACAGCTCAACCAGAAAAAGGAACCACAATGAAGACCATAGGTAAGCTTCAAATAGAGCTTGTCGGGTCCATAAGAGTTCAATTACTCTCTTTGGAGTTCTGAGGTTGATTTGGACGCTCATAAAAGGACTACTTGGAGGTTCATGGGTAGTTATAAGTGGGGTCATATGTAGGATAGTTATACTTATAACTCCGATTAGGAGACTTATAACCCTACTTACTACTACCCATGAACCTCCAGGTAGCCACGCCTACTTTACCCTCGACTCAAGGTCATAGGTCCTGAAAACCCTACGCCTGATCTCCCAACCCATGAACACAGAACACTTCATCCCCCAAAAAAATACCAAAATGCAAACGCACTCAAGGACGAGCCGTGCGCCCAAGATCCCAATCTCTACGCAGTCTCCAGACTCTGAACCCTTTCGAGGACCTAAACCCATGGCTTAGGACAAGTGCCAGCCTTCTTGCAGTAGCAGGCGTTGTTCTTGAAGCCCTGCTGCAGCCTGCAGTCGCCGTGGATTTATTCCCGGACTGAAGGGACTGAAGCTTGAACAGGTATTATGCGTATATCGGCAAACCCAGAATGCACGTAAGGGCCACCACAATCCTATACTACAACAAAAACTTCTTGGCACAATCATCATCTTGATAAGCATGCAAGACTTCGTCATGACATCACAATTGCAGGCAGCATGCTACCAGCGTTCAGCAGGACACTCTGCATCCCGCATTGCGCAACCGAGTCGCAAGTCTGCTCGGCTCTTCTCATCGAGTGTTGCCCAAGGTACAGTACTGATTCCATCGTCGAGCAAGTCAGCATCCAAGTCGTCTTCCTGTGTCTTGATTTGGGGGGATCCACAACATCAAATGCCTATACTGCGGAAACGTAGTTAGAACAACAAGCGATGGAAGTCGAAACCTGTTGCCAGTGGTGTCTAGCCTCTGTCGCCCGCATGGCACTCATTCCAGAGGCACAAAGCAGCAGGAGGCCGCAAAGCATCTGAAGCGCCATGGCGGTGATGTGGAAAAGCCTGAGTACCACAAGCAACGGCCTTTTTGGTGGACGGCCGTGAGCAGGTCACAGCTGCGGGGCGCGAGACCATGTGAGTGAGCGCACAAGTCTAACATAAATTCTAAGTTTTGTAAACGCTGCAGTCTACTTCATTCACTCTAGACTCTAGACTGTAGACCCGACCATGTACAACCCCGGGAATCTGCGGTTGTGCAATCGCGGCTGCCCCATTCATAGCGTCGCAGACTCTGAGTTTCATCACAAACCGTAAACCACGGAACCGTGACGCCCTCAAATATATGGACCTCAAACCCTAAACTCTAAACCCTGAACCCGTAGCCTGAAGCCTTGTAACAAAAATGGGAGTTTCCGAACGTAGGGGACCCTAATATAATGTAGTACCCTAAATAGTAGGATCCTTCTTATAAGGACACCAAAATAATGTACCCCTACTTTTCGGAAACTCCTGAATCCCAAGGCACACCTCTCGCTCGAGGCATCGCAGTCCCCGGCTTGCTGCTGCTGCATGGGCCTCCTGCCTGATATTCGGCTCGAGGCCCAGGGCCGGTTTAGGGCTTATAGGGTTTACATGGCTTATAGGGCTTATAGGGTTTAGAGTTTAGGGTTTATAGGGTTTAGAGTTTAGGGTTTAGGGCTGAGAGTTTAGGGTTTAGGGTTTAGAGTTTAGGGTTTAGGCTTGATAGGGCTTAGAGCTTAGAGTTTAGGGTTGAGTCCAGGGCTTGGTTTCGGGCTTCCGGCTTAGTGTTTGGGGTGAAGGGCCGGTGAAGGGAGGGTTTTAGAAGGGCTCCAAAATGGTCTATAGGTCTATAGGTAGATTGATTAGTCTGTTGTTTTTTCTTTAATATGGGCCTATAAGGGGTTGAGGTAGGATTGCAGTACGATACCCCTCCAGGCATGCCTAGACAAGCACAGCTCCACCAGCACCTTAAGCCCCAGTCCCCGAAACAATCCCCGAACCCTAAACGCCCTTAATCTTTAACTCTAAGACTCTAAGCCCCAGGGTATCACCCTGAGTCCCAAAACATGCAGCCCTCATGGCTTGAGCCCCAAAACCCCAAGCCCCGAGACTTGAAACCTACCACAACCCAGAACGTCCCCTAAACCCTTAACCCATCTAAACCCTATAAGCCCTACGGTTTAGGGTTTACCATGTCAAATCATGTCAAAGTCAACAGATTTCGGTTTTGCGACCTCATATACCGGCTCGCGGAGCCAGAAGAGAAGCTCAAGATGGATTTCGGGGCTATCGGGGTGTCGGACGTCATGCATGCATACATCTACCCAGAGGCTCCATAGTAGTTCCTTTTTGGGATGACCTTAAAGGATTCTAAATATGAACCCCAGAAAGGAACTACTTTGGAGCCTTAGGGTAGAGTGCATTCCCTCTTCATCTCTCGATGTTTATAGTGCACGGTCCGAGCGTTGTGCTATCATTACCACTGATGATGTGTTTGTTGCCTTTTCGTACTCTTCTTCAAGGCTCCATGTACCTTTATAGTAGTTACTTAAGCCTCGGTACTTTAAGGCCTAAGTATATACTATATGGGCACATGGAGCCTTAGGGCTTGTTCTGCGATTGCCGCTATCACTGCTGAGGTTCCCCAAGTCCCTACTGCCAGATAATGGGCCCAGCACTTGACAAAAAGCGAAGCGCTTGAAGCGCGCCATCTCCAGTCTAAACATGGAGGGTGACACAGGGACCGCAAAAAAGCTTAGAAGTATTAGAACTCAGAAGGCAGTTTGTGACGATGCTATGCTAGTATTATCATGAGGAAGACCGGGGGAATAGTGTTGGCATTTATTCAGGCTTCGATTTTTTGGGTACGGCCCCCACTCAGTAATAGTCGAATAATAATCATAATATAGATATAGTAGGACCTTAATAGTAGCCCTATTATATGGGGCCGTACCTAATCGATATTAGTGTACATAACTCTAGCTCAAAAACACCAAGCGGGATCTGCAACATCCCAAGCCTCACCCCATCCTGGGTTCTTAGGTTCTTGTTAAGGGATTTAGTCTGAGTTACCAAAATAAGGAAACCATATTACTATATTCCTTACGACGAACCCAGCACATCACCAAAAACGATGCAAGATCCTCGCCCTGGGCCGCAGACAGTGCTCCGGTTGCCTCCGCCACGTGGCGAAGGCTTTCCACCAAGCCTTCGACGCTCCTCCATGCTGGATTTTTGGTTAAGGAATTAAGTTATCATAAGAAACAAGAATCCAGCATGTCATGCACAGTATTTTGGGCGTTACTAATATAACCCACTGGCAATCACTCACCAAACCCCGAAGCCAAACCAGACTCCATGTCATGGTGGGAATACACAGGTTTAGGGTTTAACACTTGGTGGCTGTTACCCTGAATTTGGGCGTCTTGCCCACAGCATGAAAGGAAGCACCGTGCCGAGTGTCCGAAATCGCTGCTCTCTGGATCGTATAGATTGTGAGTGCAACACAAGATTTGCAGGAACACACCCGCCAACAAGTTGGAAGAGCAATATCCTCGTGCCCTTCAGAAGTGGTAGGAAAGCAAGAACCTATCTTCCTTCCCGTGGACGTGAGGGTTTTGGGAGCCCATTGCTGGTCTACCTGATCCAATGCTCTAGCTTAAACCCTGAACCCTAGACCCTAAACCCGAAGGCCCTGCACCCCAAACCCGCGCTCCTCAGAGCATCTGGGCAGTCGAAATCACGCTCAAGACGTTCGGCCTCTGAGCACACCCCGAAGGGTCCATGCATATATCAAAGGGGAAAGGAGGGACCCTTAATGGGGACCCCTACCCTATAATGGGCTACATAATGGGTATAGAATAGCTATATTAAGGGTATAAACCTAGGGGTCCTTATTAAGGGTCCCTCCTTTTACCCTTGGAATATAGATCCGAGGGGCCCATATTGTAAACACGAAAAAGCTTGTTAGGACTTCGGGGTGTCAGGTTTTATAAGGGTTTAGGGTTTAGGAGATGCTTGAAATTCCTGGTACAAACCCTAACATTAAGCCCTAAACGTAAACCCGAACGCCTATAAACTCTAAACCCCCAGAGTAAAGCCCGAACCCTAAGCCCAAACCCTGAAGCCTAAAAGCAACGCCTAAACTCGACAACCCTTCTGCTGCAACACCCCCCTGAACCCTATTATTAAAATCCCTAAACCCCTAAACCCCCTATAAGCCCTACAAAAACTCTACAAACACTACGAACTCTAAACCCTTTAAACCCTAAATCCCTACAACCCCCCCTAGTTGCTGAGTTCATAAGCCCCCAAAAGTGTACACTTTTGTCACTTTTGGTTTTATAGTGGGTAATAATAACCCAAAAAGTGTACAGTGTATCCACTCAGCTACTACTCGCAGGGTCGGGGGACTTAGTAAGTAGGTCGTAAGTAGACTTACAAGTACTCTAAAAGGGACCCTAATTGCGGTTATGGTACTTATAAGTCCCTAAAATAACCAGTTGCTAAGTCCCCCGACCCTCCAAGTAAGCCCGCTTAAACCCTAACCCTAAAATCCTTGAACCCTAAACCCTACAGATCCCTTCTGGATCCCTTTAAAGGAACCCCTAGAGATCAAAATAGCCCAAACGCCTTATATAGTAATTATGGTCTTTGGGCCCAAAAGTCTTAACATATGAGTCCTTAGATCCCTAGGGTACTAAGCCCCCCCCCTAAACCCTAAACCCTATAAACCCTATAAACCCTATAAACCCTATAAACCCTATAAACCCTAAACCCTAAACCCCAAACCCTAAACCCCCCCCCCCACGAGGGCCTCCCAGCTCGCCATCTTCAATGCGCTTTGTGTCGCCTCGGAGGCCTCGGCAAAGCGGCGGAGCGCCAGAAGGGCCCGGACCTGCCAGGAGAGCGGGTTGAGGGATTACCTGGACCCTAAGGAACCTACCTTTTTAAGGCCCCCCTAATATGATTTCTTTATATAAGTCCCTGAAAAGTTAGGTTATTTGGGGTTTAGGTAGGGTTTATACTTTGAGGGTCGGGGGGCTTAGTAACTGGTTATTTTAGGGACTTATAAGTACCATAACCCCAATTAGAGTCCCTTTTAGGGTACTTATAAGTCTACTTACTACCTGGTTACTTAATCCCCCGACCCTCCAAGTAGGGCTTATAGGAGTTTAGGGTTCCCCTAGTATGGGCTACTTGTGACTACCCTTAAGGCTTTAACCAGCAGCTTAATGTAGGGGCCTTAATGATTAGAATAAGGTGTTCTACGCTAACTATAATGAGGAACCCCCCCCAAAATATGCCAGGAAAGCGGGGTTGAGGGTTTAGGGCTTACAGGGTTTATAGGGGGTTTAGGGTTCCCCCTAATATGGGCTACGTATAACTACCCTAGGAAAGCGGCATTAGTGTAGGCCTTAATGATTTGAACAGGGTTTTGGGGTATACGATACCATAACTATAACTATAACTATACTATAACTGTACTGTAACTATAATAAGGAACCCCCAAAACATGCCAGGAAAGCAGCTTCGAGCTAAAGGCTTTCCTACTTGGAGGATCAGGGGTTTAGGGTTTAGGGTTCCCCTAATATGGGCTACTTATAACTGCCCTTAAGGCTTTAACCAGCAGCTTAATGTAGGGGCCTTAATGATTAGAATAGGGTTTTGGGGTATACTATTACTCTAACTATACTATAACTGTACTGTAACTATAATAAGGAACCCCCCAATATATGCTAGGAACGCCGCTTGAGGCTTCTCTAAGGGTCCAAAGGACCCAATAATTTGGAACTCGGCTTCGGGCTTAAGGCTTTTCTACTTGGAGGTTCAGGGTTTAGGGCTTAGGGTTCCCCTAATATGGGATACAAGTATAGCTACCCTATGTATAACCCGACGTATAACTACCCTCAAGGCTTTAACCACGACCCCGCACTGGCCCTGTTATGGAGCCCTCATGGTCCAAAAAAGGTTGGCATTTAGGGTATGTTAGAGGGTAGCTGGGGGGTCTAAGAAGGCTTCG